GGGGGGGGGGGGTACCGTGGATCTTAAGCTGGCCTCTCCATCACCCTTTTATCCCGTTTTGTACGCAATATCGCTCTGGTCGACCTTAGGGTCTTTTCGTGTTTTTTTTTTCTTTCACTTAACCTCCCCCCCCCCTCTCCCTACTTCACCAGCCCTTTCTACTTTAAGGCCAAATTTGTTCCGACCCTGTCCCCTTCCACCCATTTTCCACGGTTCCATATTGTTGTCAGCGCCAGCCAGATCGATGCACTAGAAATATAGATATATTGTAGATATACACGCGTAGATGAATGCAGATCATTGTTATTCGACGTGCAAGGTTATAATTACCATCGAAACGTGGTTCGATCGACGTAATCCCGGTGAGAGGGCGCCGCGACGGCCAAATTGCGAACTGCCGGAAATCAGGGGCTCGATTCGTGTTATGACGTCGCCAGTTGCGGCAGCCCTCTCGCAAGAGTGACAAAGGACGTAGGAATTACGATTTGGCCCGACACGTGGCCCAAGTATCGTTATACCGGAGTAACGCAGGGCCGTATGCACGTATGTAGCTACACAGGTGCATATGGGCACCGCGTCAGGTAGCGCATCGTGGAGAGTACACGTGGCGCCCAGCGCATAAAGTGCGGTCGCTGAAAGACTTACCGGGCGACCGGACATAATATATATATATATATAGAGAGAGGAGCGCTGTAGAGCACATACATACGAACTTACTATATAAAACTATACATATACACAATTTACATAAAACAAAAATTACATTATACACAGTCATTACAGAAACAAATCGTCCAAGTGCCGCAGGCCGAGAAATAAACTAGGTTCGATAATGCGGCGAGACTTTCGACGCGGCTAATAAATACTCCGCGTGCCCGAGGAATCCGATCCAATTAGGCTGATTTATTATTTTAATTGCAAATGCTAATTTGCCCGCTTTAGTTATTCATTAGCGGCCGAAGAGAATAAATGGTCGTATACGCGACACAGTGCGCTCGCCTTTAATATAACAAGATTGATCTATGCGTCTACGACTGTATATATACATATATACACACACCTACCTGGTGAATCGATCGATCGATTTAAGAAAGCATCGATCCTCCCCATTGCGTAGACGTATAATATTTTATTATACAATACACAGCCAGCACGAGAGACAAGCGCAACGAGCGCCTATTTTCTCCGAGTGGCAGCATTTCTCAACCGTCGGACAATATTTTGCCTATCGCTTTCATCTGGTGCGCACGTGGTGCGTCCTGCCGAGGAGGCCTGGGGAGGCCGTACTGGTCGCGAAACGAGGAACGGTCGTACGCATTGTGCCTTGTGCGCTGCCTAAACTTACAGTTACGGAAGCATACGAGTATATATACATATATATATATATATATATATATATATATACTCGGTACACGTGAACATCGCAGTGCTAGACATCCGGTACAATACCCCCAGATATAATGGGCCGCTAGTTCCTTGCATTGTTCGAAGGTTACATTATGCATTTACGTGTGAAGCACACACGCGAGGATAAGCAGGTACAGCAACGTTGCGTCAGCGTGTTCCCAGTACGACCAACCTGCATATCGTTGCACGTGCGGGGTATACGTTAAAATAACGTAGGGACCGTGCCTAGCCTGAGCATAGAGATATTAGGTAAGGTCAGGTCGTACCGGTGCACGGTAACAAGGTCAATGGTAAAAATAAAAAAAAAATAATTCGACAAATCCCCCACAGACGATTTACAGTGCATAGATCCTTGGAACCAGGGAGGCTGTGACTATCCCTCTCTGGACCCCATAAATCTCTACGATCGGACGTAATTGTCTCTGACGGAGTGGAGAGTGGATATCGCCGCGGGGCGAGACAGTCGGGATTGCGGTTATGGTAATAATTACTGCGAGGTCAAGAATCCCTAGGGACGTTGGTAGTAGAGGTTGGCAGTCTTGGGTTATCGGTACGGAACACGGGGACAGAGGGATTCTTGGGAAACGTGATGAGCTCGGACGATTGGGCCGATGGAATAATTTTTTTCTTGACACGGGGTACATTATTTCTGTGTTAACCGTACGGCCGAACGGGAGGAAGTCAAGAAGAGGGAAGCAGCTGAGGGGAAGTATGAGGTTGGTTCGGGGGTGGAAGGGGGCGAGGGGGGGTACTGCAAAGGTAATATCTAGTGATAAATTGTGCCCGTGCCTAGAGTTGTTTTACGAAGGTATACCAATGCCGCTGGGAAGGTTGGTAGGACTGCGAAGTCTCTGCCGTAAGATGCCCCGGACGTAAATAACAAACATAACGCATAACGTTTGCCCGAGAGAAAGACGTTTCTATAATTCACGTTGGGCGCCGAGTACTTTTTCAGCGGGCCTCCCTGAGGGCCAATAAAAAGTTGCAGCGAGAAGAACGCGAGGCACTCGCCGCTAAATATACCCGGCCAATGAGGAGGACGACTCGTGCGTGAGACTTTAGGAAACGGTCGGATCCGTCGGGCTTACGCAATCGAGACCTTTTATTTCGCAATCCTTGTTCCAGCGATACAGTTGTCCAAAAAAAGATTCCCCGGATCGTTACGAATTTGAGACTGGGTAGAATCGGTGGGTTAATTTCGAGCTATGGCGTCTTTGAAGTTATTCCGGTAATGTCGCTGATAATTTACCTTGAAGGATGGAATTATGTAAAGAAAAAAAATACATCGCACACCTGGCATGTGGGTACTCAAACGATCGAGTATTCGTCCCGCAGTTCAATTTTTTACAACGGATTGTACTTTTTTTTCATTTTTTTTTTTTAAATTATCAAAATCTATATTGCGTACAGGTATGCTGCGAATCGGCTGGATTCCAACTGTCCGGGACGCGGCCATCCAGGACCCAACCCAAGAAGAGTACGCTGACGAGTTTCTGGAACAAGTGTGCCGGCCGAAGGTGACGTCACTGGCGTGAAAAGGAAAGAGGAAGGAAAGGTGGGGAGGATAAAACCGGAAACTCAAAAAATTCCTCGTAACCGTGCGCATGGCGGAAACCTCAGACAGGAAGATCCGATAACGTGGAAATTCTCCTTCCCATCCAGCCGTCGAGGAGATACGTAAATTTATATTAAAAAAAAAAAAAAAAAAAAAAAAAAAAAATTTTTAAAAAAATTTTTTTGTTTAAAGAATATTCAAAATTCATTGTGTAAAAAAAGGGAATATTTAAAGTGTATTTTGGAAATTTGATACGTTTCTTGGAAGAATTAAAAAAAAAAAAAAAAAAAAAAAAAATCGAAATTTTTCAAAAAATATCTATTAACATTTAACAAGGAGTGTACAAAATTATGTAATTTTGTCCTAACCTAACCTAACCTGCGCAGTGCAGCGATGCACTGGTCCACAGCCCTGCCGTCCTCGTTTACT